CGCAGACCCAGGAGCGGTTGTGCTGGAGCATCCCTCACCCCAGCCTCGGGGCCGGCCGCGGGGCAGGGATGCGGGATGCGGCCAGACCTGTGCCCCAGGGCCGCCCGGGGCGATGCTCCGCAGCGGGCGCCTGCTCTGCCCACAGCAGCAGAAGACAATTTGCAGGGTGGAATGAAAACACGCCAAACCCCAAAGGTTTGACTCCACATTTCTCATTTCCAAAAGCCCCAGTGGGGGGGATTCGCTGGGGCGTCCGGGCTGGAAACCCCCTGCCTGGGGCTAAAGCCACCACACACCTCCCCTGCAGACGGGAGCTGCGACTCGGGTCTCCTGCTTTATGTGAGAAGATAATTATGCTCTACGGGGATTTGCAAAATTTGTAGCTATAAATTTCTCCCAGGGAAGAAGGTGCTGTAACTCATGAGGAATCAAATGCCAGAATGCCGCTAAGGAAAGGCCGGAAAGAGCTTTAATTGCCCCAATGAATCAGCGTCGCCCTGGGTTTCCAAAGACATCGCAGCTTCTCCACCACCGAATGCCAGCCCCCTTGGCAGCCCGGCCAGGGTCCCACCCCCATAGCACCCCCCACCCCTGCACCCATAGCACCCCCCACCCCTGCACCCCGCAGTGGGGTGCTTGCTCTGCAGCCTGGGGCAAAGCAGTGGGGGGTGCAGGGGGTGCAGGGTGCATCCTGCACAGCACCCATCTCGCAGGCAGCATGGGCTGAGCTTTGCATTTCAGAAGGGGTTCATAAATCCGCGGTTCTGGATCCCTCCCTCCGCACCCGGCCCCGTAAGCGCAGCCCCCAGGTCCCTCTCCCAGGCCCAGCACCGGCTCCGCAGTTTGCCCCCGTTGCACGTTGTTCGGCCGTGCACAGCTCAAGGCCAAAACTTTTCCCGGACTTAATAGCAGCGTCTCCGTGTATCTCCATGAAAGGAAAGCGCAGGCTGCAAACGCCCCAGGGAGGCAGCAGATATACTGCCGGCATTACCAGCTGCTGGGGGTGTTGCTATGCCAGATAATTATTCCATAACTCTACTTGCTGCTGCAGCCAGGTTGGTTAACGAGTGAGAATGGGCCCAGGGTGATTTAAGGAGCAGGGAAGGGGCAGCCCTTGGCTCTCAGAAAGGTGCTGACCTGCTTGGGTGAGGAAGCCTGGACCTTGCTTGGTGCTCATGGGAGGTGCAGCCCACCCAAAGCATCGCCCGCATCCCAGCTCCATCCTCAGTTTAGGCTTGACTTACATTTTATTTTTTTTTAATTTCATTTTATTTCCAGGTTTTTCCCTGTGCATCCCTCCCTCTGCGCCAGCCTCCCTCCAGGTCAGTGCCCCGTTCTGGGGATTTATTTTGGCTGGTAACATGTGCAGGATGCAGCACATTGATTTCTGGACGCATGCACGTGCGGGTCCCGACAGGGAGTCCTAATGAGCTCCCCGTGAGCTCGGGCACTGATTTTTCCCTGTACTCCCCGCCGCCCGCTCTCCTTGGTGTAACACAGGTGATGGCAGCGGGGTTCGCCCCAGCCATGGATGTTTTGTTTGAGAGAAACTCACCCAGTAACTGCAGGGTCCCG